AGTAAAAGTTTATATATAATAGTAGTTGTTAAATAGGCTCTTTTATCTAGCTGCTTATAGTATAAGCACTTAAGTAGCAAGAGTAAGAGTAGTGTACAGTGTGCACAGCGTACGAAGTAGGTAGGGTGGAGGCAACATGTTTCTAGTTCTATTGCTCTGTCTTTCCTCTGTACAGAGGAAAAGGGGAATATCTAGATGTTCGCGCACAGATGTTCGCGCACAAGCATTATGTGACATAGTTACATGATCCTTCTTGTACGCGATAAATATCTAGACTGTAACGCTGTTGCTACGTATAGACAGTAGTAGTATTCTATATATAAAGTATAAAAAGCTACTAACTTTCTTTTTTCCTTATCTTTTTTCTCTCTACTTATTTATTTCTTATAGTAAGTAATTTTAAACTAGTTACACTTAAATATATTTAATTAACTTTAGCTATAACGTACTTCATAGGCGAGTTGCTCACACACCTAAGTCGCTTACTTTTGCCAAGACCCTACCCTAACAAACTCTATTCTAGCCTATAACAACCCGCTCTAGCACTATATAGTACAGTACAGCCTAGAATATTATTTAAATACTACTTCTACTTCTTACTTACATGTTTGCGTGTTATGCCTAGTCTAATTACACTATTTATAGCGCCTTTAAGATAGCTTACTTACTTTAGCTTATACTTACTTCTTTGCCTTCTTTTTATTACTGCGCGCTTTAAACTCCTTTAAAGCTATTAAGCATAGGCTTTTTTAAATTATTAAAGTCTTTTTTGCCTTAATTTACTTTTTTTTATGTAATTTATATTATGTAGTAGCTTTATTAGCTACTTAAAGCTTAGTAATTTCTTATTATACTAACACTAGCTTATATATAATTATTACTACTTTTTTTAAAACTTTTTTAAACACCTTAACTATAAAAGTTAGTAAACTATTTATATACTTCTAAATTTTTATTTTTATAAGTATTAATTATAACTTAAGTTTTAAAGTATTACTTAGAGTTTATAACTACTAAGGCTTATTATATATAAGTAGTAGTAGTAATAAAGTGTGCAACTTTATATTAAAGCTTATTATAACTTATTATAAGTTAAAAGAAACTAATCTAGCGCTTTAAAACTTTTTTTAAATATTACTAAAAGTAATTATAGTATTATAAGCTACTTTAAAGCATAGTAGAAACTTTATTTTTATAATATAAGTAATTTAATTATGTATAAAGTTTTTAGCTTAGCGCTTATATACTTTTTTTAAAAAAGTAAAACAACCTATATTAAGTAGCTATAAAAAGTATAATAAGTAAAAAAGTATATAAATAGTAATAATTTTATTATCTTTATAGTATTACTAAAAATAAAGTAAGTTATAGCTTTTATAGCTATTAATAACTAGTAAATAGTAGCTACTAATAGTACACTTCTTTATATGCGCGTTAAAGTGCTTTAACTAGTCTAGACTAAGCTAATTAGTAGTCTAGCTATACTTAAAAATTATAATAACTTAATTTTAAAGTAAATTTTTCTTTTTATACTAGTTTAAAAAGTAGTTACTACTTTAAAAAATAATAAAAAGTAGAATAGCCTACTTTATAGCATTAATGCTCTAGATAGCTATTATCTACTTCTAGTTACTTAGCTAGACTACTTTTAGCTATTCTTGTCTCTCTAAACTTATAATAACTACTCTAGTAAATATTTAGCCTATTATAAACTTTATTTTATTAAAGTTATATATATTATTATCTTAGATGCTATACTTAGCTTTAATATTCTTTATAAAGTTAAACTAGCTTTAAATTACTATAAAAATTTTATAAAAAGCTTTTTTATAGTTATACTTATACTTAAACTTTACTTTAAGCTTTAAGTAACACTTAATAAATATATTAAGCTAGTTTATACTAATATAGCTTATATTATACTTAGTGTATAAAGAATTAGCTATATTAGCTATAGCTACTAGCTAAAAGAGAAATCTTTACATATCTAGCTTAAGTATGTGCTAAATAATTACTTACTTTTTATTATTATTTAGCTTTTATAAGTTAGCTATATAATTAGCTTAGAAAAGTTATCTAGTGTGTTAGTTACTTATTATTTTTTAAAAGACCTTATAAATAGCTGTAGCATGTTACTTAAAAAGTATTACATTTTATTTAAAAGCTTAAAGTATAAGCTATATCTAACATTCTTTTAACATGTCTAAGTAGTGTTGTTAGAAATGCATTATTATAAGAAAAGTAGTGTAGTAAAGTCTTAGCAAAAGTAAGCAACTTAGGTGTGTAAGCAACTTGCCTATAAAGTACGTTAGAGGATTTTTAACTTTTCTTAACTTAGCGTTTTTCTAAGTAAATTAATTTTTAGTTTTATTTATTCTTATCTATTTTTATTCTATTTAGTCTACTATAGCTAATAATTTACCTTACGTTCTAAACTAGCAATTTAAGAATAAAAAAGTAGCTTCTTTTTCTAGTTTAATAAAATCTTTAGTTAGACTTTATAAAGTATTTCTAAACTCTTTACATTTTCTTTCTTTTTAAAATAAGGTTCTTGTTAAATAGGCTCTTTTAGCTAGCTGCTTATAGTATAAGCACTTAAGTGTAAGGCCAAGATGGCGCTTACGTGCGACAGGTATATATACTATTCTGCACCTGAAAATTAATGTTGGTTGATTATTCGCACCTTTTTAGTTGTATTGGCGTAGTGGTACAGAGCTCCGTCCTTACATAATAATCAACCAACGACGAGGACGGTCGCGCGTTTGACCCACACCTCGGACAGCTTAGCCAGTTTTTAGACTGAAACGTGAGGCGGCCTCTTCTAGCGCCACGTTGTAGCTGCTGGGAGGTCTAGTGTATATGGCTTAGCTGGCGTGGGCCACTAAGCGTTGTGTTGTTATTTATCCCGCGCCTCTGGGCCGCAGGTGGTTAGCCTCTGGCCGGTAACCGAGACATGCGCATGGCGCCTCTGAGCTGCGGGTAGGTCATGTGACGCCTGGGACATGCGTCTGCTAAGAAGGGGGATAATGTAAGGCCAAGATGGCGCTTACGTGCGACAGGTATATATACTATTCTGCACCCGAAAATCAACGTTGGTTGATTATTCGCACCTTTTTGGTTGTATTGGCGTAGTGGTACAGAGCTCCGTCCTTACATTAAGTAGTAAAAGTAAGAGTAGTGTACAGTGTGCACAGCGTACAAAGTAGGTAGGGTAGAGGCAACATGTTTCTAGTTCTATTGCTCTGTCTTTTCTCTGTACAGAGAAAAAGAGGAATATCTAGATGTTTGTGCACAGATGTTTACACACAAGCATTATGTAACATAGTTACATAATCCTTCTTATGCGCAATAACTATCTAGACTATAACACTATTGCTATGTATAAACACTAGCAACTTTCTGTTTTTATCTAAGAAGTTGCCTTCTGTACTAGTTACCTTTCTTCTATTTATGCAGATCTATCTAAATATGTTCTGCCTATACTCTACCCTATTTGTTAGAACTTGCCCTAGTGATGCTATACGTTAGGATAGGCTAGTTATGCTTTGTAAATAGCTCTGTGGATAATGTAGAGTGTTTAAGCTATTGTTATCTAGCCTTGTACACTTGTCCTGTGAATGTCTGGCGGTGTACAGGCTGTTTGTGCGGGATTCTGTGACAGGATAGTGTGGGATCCTTGTGTAGAGAGGTGCGTGCGATAGAAAAGACAAAAGGAAATAGGCCTTGTACAGAGGTGTTGTTAGTCTAGTTAGTCTAAGGTATCTTTGCGCAAAGGATCTAGCTAGTCTACAGATGCTTCTATTTACAAAGCACAACTAGCCTATCCTAACGTACAACATCACTAGAACAAGTTCTAACAAATAAGGTAGAGTATAGGCAGAACATATTTAGATAGACCTGCATAAACAGAAGGGAAGTAACTAGTATAGAAGGCAACTTTTTAGACAAAAACAGAAAGTTGCTAGTGTTTGTATGTAGCAATAGTGTTATAGTCTAGATAGTTATTGCGCATAAGAAGGATTATGTAACTATGTTACATAATGCTTATGCATAAACATCTATGCGCAAACATCTAGATATTCCTCTTTTTCTCTGTACAGAGAAAAGACAGAGCAATAGAACTAGAAACATGTTGCTTCTACCCTACCTACTTTATACGCTGTGCACACTGTACACTACTCTTACTCTTGCTACTTAAGTGCTTATACTATAAGCAGCTAGCTAAAAGAGCCTATTTAACAAATAGCATAAATATACTACTATAAAACTACCTTTTTACTTTTATTATTTATTAAATATTACTAAAGTTATTACCTTTTAAATATTGTTTAATTCTATTTAAATTAGCTAGCTAAATATTAGTGTAATAAATTTAATTTATAAAGAGAAAATTTAGAAGCTAAAATAAGCTTTAAAATAAGCTATTAATTATCTAATTTAGATTAAAACTAATAGAGATAGTTGAAGTTAAAGTTTTACTACTAATATATACCTCTTACTATTCTAAGCTCCGCTTTTCCAAGACATTTATAAATTAGCGTAGTATGTTATTCTAAAGACTTAGTAGAGATAGGTAAAAGAAAACATAACATATAACTACTGCTACTAGTAAAGTTACAAAGTTAAAACTTGGACTATTTATAAATTAGATTTTTATTTATTATTTAATAAATTAATGTAGGTGTTGTAGAGTAAAATGCAATTTAAGTACAAAATGTTTGTTAGAGTAGACTGTTTACTTGTGTAGACTGCGTTGCTTGTAAAATATATTACTTATTAAAATCTAATTTAGTTTAAAAGTATAGTAGTAGTGCTATAATAATTCTTAGTTAGGCTAGTGCATATTAGAGAAAGTTTATAGTTACTATATTACTTAAAAATTAACAAAAGTCTCTTAGACAGCTAGACAGAGAAAGCGTTTTTACGCCCCTAATTAGCTAGCCTTGTTAGTAGAGGACCTAGTAGGGGTAGCCCCTTCTATTCGCAGGGGGAGAGGGTCCTCAGGGGCTCCGAGCTTCTCTGCACAGTTGGCCGAGCACTTGAGATAAGCACTTGATGAGTTTGCCTACACCGCTCGTGATCCGCCACGAAAGTGACTCAGTCTGGCTTGTAGGTCTAGCGATACAATACTTAGCATGGCAACATAGAGAAGAGGACACGGAAAGTTTTCATGCTTCCTAAAGTAGGTAGAAATATACGACTTGCGACATGGTACGTCAAGGAATCACCGGACAACGAATCCGGCTTCAGAGATGAGATAAGTCGTGTAGAAGAGGCACACAGCCAATGTCCGGAATAGCATGTCCTCAACATACGGCCACCTTCGATCTATCTCTTACTACCGCTCCCGTCTCTACGACTCTTGGATTATTACCAATTAGGACTACAGCCCTTAGTTCGCCTTCTTCCAACCACTCCACCTCCAAAATGTCCTCCAACGTCTGCCTTTGTAGCAAAACCTGGCATCCCACCAAACAGCCCCCACTTCACCCCTTTCTCATGCTCGCGATCCCTAACCTAACCGGAAGCCCGAATCCCGATCCATTAAGGCACATCCGACGAATTTCGGCTTCTCGCCAAGCCCACCACCCATAAACAACGCTTAGTCAGACTCAGCAAGAGGCTTTCAGCAGCCAATAAACGCCGCCAACTAGATGGTATATGGTGGCTGCCCAATACACTCACTGCAACGGCTGCAGTGACGAGTAGTGACGAGTATGTTGGAGTTAGAGTTGGCAGGGATGTTGTGGAGCTGCGCCCCTTCGGAGGACGGTGTGATGGCATAGATGTCTTGTGCTAGATAACGTTATGGGCTGGGGGTTAGGAGAGATCGGTGATAAGAGGGATTGGTGGTCAGAGGAAGTGAAGGTGGAGGGAGTGTATATAATAAGGTGAGGAAGGGCGGGACAATAGACAACCAGTTCTACTTCTACCTCAAGTTGCGATCTTGACAAGGGTTTCCCTCACACTCAACCTCTACGAAACCCATTACCTACTCCCACACAACCAAATCGTAACTCATCTATATAAAGAGCCACACCGAATTCAACGAACATGTCCTCCCCAACTCCCGTTTGGTTCATCACAGCCGCCAGCTCCGGATTTGGCAAATACATGGCCTTCGAAGCTCTCTCGCGCGGCCACAAAGTCATTGCTAGCGCCCGCAGCACCACCAGAATCCAGGATCTCAAGGAAGCTGGAGCTGACATAGTTACTCTAGACGTGACTTCCCCCCTCCCTGAGTTGCAGAAGACTGCGAAAGAAGCCAATGACAAACACGGCTACATCACGCATCTTGTTAATGCTGCAGGATACATCCTCGCGGGTGCGGTGGAGGAGACCTCGTAAGCATTAATCTTAAAGTGGTCCTCTGGTGGTGTTGACCTATTCTAATATATCCACAGACCACAAGAAGATTTTGATCATTTCAATACAAATGTCTTCGGCATGCTCAACGTCAGCAAAGCCTTCCTACCCTACCTCCGCAGCACCTGCGGCGAAAAGACAATCTCGAACTTCGGCTCCATTGCATCGTGGGTGGGAGGAGCAGGCTATGCGCTTTACAGCGGTTCCAAATGGGCTTGTTCTGGGATTTCTGAAGCTATGCGCGCTGAGCTCGCGCCTTTCAATATCAAAGTGACTTCCATAGAGCCGGGATATTTCAGAACGGGATTTTTGAACCCTGCTGCGAGGGTTGAATCGGCAGTTCGGATTAAGGCATATGATGAGACGGAGGTTGGAGCCCTGCGGAAGAAATTTACGGAGGTGGATAATAATCAGCCTGGGGACGTGAAGAAGGGATGTAAGGTGCTGATTGATATTTTGACGCACACTGGTCTTGCTGAGGGCAAAGAAATCCCGATTCGAGTAGCGCTAGGGTCAGACTCCCCACTGGTGATTATGAACAAGATTAGACAGACTGAGGATTTGTTGAAGGAGTGGGATCTGATTACCACAAATACGGATCATGAGTGAGGGAGGTGGTAGTATGTAGGTGTCAGTAGATATATCTAGCAAACTCAATCAGCTAAATTTTGGGCTTTCCTTCTAGTCCTTTTGGTGGTGATTTTATGCGTCCCTGTGCACCATGTTTCGGCTCCCTGTCATGGTTTGCAGATCTAGCTTCTCCCCGTAGGCTGTAGCTTTTCCAGATCGACAGAAGTAACGGGAAAAGTGTTCGGGATTTGGATTATTTAGTCCTGGTCTGAGACAGCCCACTACGCGCTCTGCCGCTTTATAGATGTTCCACATCATCCAAACCTGCTCCAACTGTTTGCGCCCAGCTTTTTGGTTGATACATACAGCAGCTGCTCACAAGACCCTTGGATGGTCGGGCTTGTGCAGGGCGCGCAATGCCGCTTCAAGATTCACCGTCGCGTCAAAGGCTGTTCTTGCCTCTAGTTTAACTCTTTCTATTTAACATAGCACTAGTTTCCTAAGATACCCTAATTAGGTGTTAACTATAACGCCGTAGCTTTAGATAGAGTAAGCTAGACATTCTCACTAGTTATCTATTAAATTATAAAGCCTACATTAGTTTCTTAAAAAATTTTAAGATAAAATTAAGCGCAGTGAAGTCACTAGTTAGATATCTAACTTAGATCTTCTTTAAAAGCTTAATTGTGTCTTCTATGCCTTTAAAGCTGAAAAGCAAAGATTAGTAAGCTTCTAGTAATAATTCCTGTTTCTAGAGCCTTCTTCTACTTGCTCTCTTTTGCTTCCTATAATGTCTAGTCCTCTAGATCCTAACTAGCTTCCTATCTTAATACAGGAGGTGACTGTAATAGCAGCTGGTAAATGCCTGATAACAGTGTTGAATTTAATGAAGAAGAACTGTGTCCTCACTACAGAACTAGGTTTTATACAGCAACGCCTCGCTGGCTTAGGTCTAGCTTAGGAGTAGCGCAGAAGATGGGTATAGTGATAGACGAATCCTTGAGGAGACTCAGGGGCTCGAGAAAGGATATATATGTATTAGAGCTCTCCGGGGAGAGTCCGAGGCAAGTCTTAGTTAACCGTGACACAGCTTAAGAAGACTATAAACCTATAAATGTCTTAGCGTGCTCTGTGGTCACAGAATGCGAGGATCTGCGGGAGCCTTCTTTAGCGTCTCCTCTAGATTTTCCTATACTGCTAAGACAGGTTTAGCGCAAGGTCACATGTCTAGGTTATAATAGGCGTCATAACTAAGGCTGTGCTTGTCCTAAACAGACTTTGTTATTTCCCTAGCATCTTTGCTTGCTTTAAGCGACAGCCTAAAATATCCATATACTCATTAGTCGTTACATTCGTAACAGAAGGTTACTAGAGAATGCCCTGGGCAAAGTTTGCTTAGGATCAATTGTGAAGTCGTTGTTGTAAAAAAAATTCGGCTCCGACTCTCGTATAGTCGCCCACGAAATGCATAGCGTCCTCGAAAGCACACGAAGGATACCCATGACATCGCGAATAGTAGAGTTGAGCCGCTTTCGTGCAGCAAAGCAATTACTCCATCCCATTGCACAACACAAAAGCAAAAGTCAGTTCCAAGCCTCCCGTAATACATCTCGCACCCTTAGACGATAAAGCGTTATGATATCAAGGAGTGTTGGAAGAGTTCCTATACCCACGCTTTCGTATTCAAGGTACGCGAACCCTCCTAACCCGATTCGGTAACACATTCCACGCCACCCAACGACACTCATTCATCTGAGACAGCTCCAGGAACCTTATTTCATCCACTTCTAGGGTTGCGATAGGTTACGGTTATGGACAGGTTGCAGAGGCATTCCCTCCCTCACTATTCCAGCCCAGTGCCGGGATCTGCCGCTCCCAATCATGCATGCCAAAGCTGGAGAACTCATGCAAGCCCGTGCATGCTGCAAAATGCGTGTTTCTCATCACCCTCGGCCAAGATGTTTGCTGCTTGCTGTGCAGCTCGCACTGCAGCTCGACCGGGGCCAAATACTCCGCGACCAGAACTGAACTGATCGTCGGTTCTGTGCTCCACATTCCGCATCTCTTAAGGCTGAGGACAGCAAGGGTTGTTAACTGTCACAAAAATAAGTCTCAAGGCCCTTTCAGCCTGGACTACAATTTTTCAAGGATGAAGAACAAGGTAGGTTATACGAAACGCCTTTGCTCAGGCCAAGTACAGGGCTCTGAAATTTTACTTGAAATGCGGCCGTCTTAGCTACTGCCAAGTCGGGTTATCGTAGAACAAGCAACTCCGCTTGTAAAATGCTAACAAAGAAACCACCCAAGGCCTTACCCAGGATTATTAGCTTGTGAGAGGGTTTCGAAGTTTCAAACCCGAGTATCAGCAATTGGGGAGTAAATGCGTTCCTCACTTCCACCGCGCTCACTATCGATATTGGATTCCTTCCGTAACAGCACCCTCGGCTCGTTCATTGGATTCGTAATTGGCATCATGTCAAATTCTTCATTCGGAGTATTCGTCGTGGCCTGTGATCGATCGCTAGAGCTGCCGCCGATATATTTCGCAGATGTCTTTTGTCCAGATTTGCTGCCACTCTTGTCGCGACTGTGATACTTGTAGCCCGCAGTCCCGCGAGTGCGCTCTCGCTGAGCTTTGAAGAAAAGCGCTTTGAGGGAGGGGATAGATGCACACCAGATGCCAATGTTGACTTCGATCATACTCCAGATGTTGATGGGGACACTGTCGTAGAAGGGGTCTTTTGACTCCGTGTAAATGCGAATCGAGTGGAGTCGGACGATAGAGGCAATACAACTAAAGATACCGAGACCGAACACGAAAATGAGAGCAGCTTTTTCGCGCCCTGGTCGCTGAATAGACATGAGCGTCTTGACTGGCAGGGCAAGGATCCAGATGTCCGTGACAATATTGAACGAGGAAGTGACTGCGCTAGGATTAGCAGGCACTGAAGGATGGTTGTGGAGTACATACAATAGAAGAAAGCAGTGGTGTTGATGCAGTGCCCATTGACTAAGCCGGTAAAATCCCACATCTTGTGAAGAGGGATGCACTGTGTGAGACAGCAGATGACGCAAATCGCAACAAACACTGTCAGTAACCAGATGGTGAGCTTGCAGCCGCGTTCAAAGCTTTTCTCAACCGCTAGATCGAGATATCAGAACTTGGTTCTTCGACCCGAAGGAAGGTTCAATACCGATGCGAAGATAGAAAAACAGAATAGAGGTCTTTATAGCGTAGACGACGATGTAGTAGATGATTTCGATTCCAAGCGTGGTTGTAATCATGTTCGTCATTTGCGACAGCTTCAATTCATTGCCACTGTACCCCATCCCGTTTTCGCGAAGAACGTATATGCAAGCGAGATATCCAATTGTGAAGATCTAATTGTGTTAGTGATGAGCTTTTGACCACATTATAAGCGCATGCCAATGCCACCAGCATCATCCAGTCGTCCTTTCCAAAGTTACGAACAATGATCTGTCGTGAATAGAATCGAAGTGCTACGATGATGACTAGTAGTGTGTTAGTTTGGCTCATTGAATGGCTCGTTGGTAGGGAGGAAATTTACCCGACACAGCAGTCATCGCTGTTGCAACCCCAGTGCAAGAGTCTTGTCGAGCCTGCTCGTCGGCACGATCCATGGTGTTGGCCGTAAGGTGTAGTTCAAGATGGAGTTAGGTAAAGCGAAGCAATAGAGCGCGGTGAAGCTGATAGACTACTAGGGAGTACCGACAACCTTTTAAAGATGCAAGACTATACCAAGAGGTGGGTCCTACGGTGTTCGGTACGCTGGGGCTGGTACCGTTTCATGGCATGATGTCCTGAAGTTGCTTGCCACCAGAAAATGGTGGATATCTCCGCTCATAACTCAGGTACTAGACCAACGAGCTGTTCCCTGCAGGGACGACACATTAGCTGGTTGAACTATTCCGTACTCTGCATGAACCGAAACTTTATATTTGCGAACCTCACAGCTAGTTCATGGTCCATAGGGCTAGCTTGTCAAGGTTGCCAAGATCATCAAGTGACAAACGTGCATTGCATGCAAATGGCCAATGGGATGAAGTCTGGGTCTCGATCCGGAACTAATGTGTAAATCTTGGTGACCATTGTTGGGGAGCTTAGTATCCGAACCTGCCGGTAAATAATGTTCAACCGTTTGACTGGAGTTGGAGGCGTTCAAAAGCCTGATCGTGTTTTGGGGGAGTTACGCACCCACTGCAACTCTACAGTTTGAGAGTTGAGAGGGTCTGTTGTTTTGCAGGTAATGCAAATTAGCCTAAACCGCACATCAATGCAAGTCAACGTGGGTAGCAACTAATGACAGTGTCGGATTCGTATTTCCCCATAACACGTGTCTGTTATTCTGTACGTCAACAAACATTGGCCGGGTACTCAGGTTGCCATCATTGTCACTCCTTGACTGGCGGAACTTTGTTGAAGCACACTGAAAAGTTTGGTGCTAGTTGACAGCGGAGGCGATTCCGCGTACTCTGAAAATTGCAATAGCGGACATGTTATAACCGAGCTAGGTGGCTGTTTGCTCTGGACCCGAAGTTCGGTTTGGATAGCACTTGGCACTAACGAGTGGTCGGAAGATTCAGAACGCCCGCATAAATGAGGCAAAACAGCTGACACTGGAGGGGGAGATAACGTGCTGGTGATAGCGGCGCAAACAAGCGGATGAACGCAATTCCAAGCAACAGGAAGTAGCGATACGAAGAGGCTGTTGGAGATCTCGTGAATGATCACCCAAACATTTGGACAATCGCATCATGATGGGCTTCGGCCTTGCATGTCGCAATTGCAGCTGAACCTTCGGCTACACTGGTTTGATACTTAGTATGCGGAGATATTGCTCGGATGGGAATTCGAGGACCTCAGTAATGTGGGGCCTGTACCTCGAGTCAGGCATTGCGAACGTTGGGTGACCGTGACACTGTAAGCACCTTGACACCAAATCTGATGACGACCTTGAGCCTCGCTTAACAGATGGATTAAAATTGAGTTCGGAATTTGGCGGTGAAACTTGTTCTATCATCCTCTCTTTTACGAGTGGATATGCGAAACCCGAGGATGTCGATGTAAGGATTGTAGAATGATCGGTGAAATGTTGGTCAAGCCAACGGCACGCAATACCGCGAATCTCGATTCTGGAAGTAGGGGTCTGCGAGCTAAGAGGACCGAGACTCAGTCCGGAAAATCTGATCTTTTCCCCCCAGTGGATAACGTGTGTGGCTCGTCTGATGACAGGCCAAATGTTGGTTCCCCACATCCTGCAGTACATAAGAGGGTAAAAAGAGCGACGGAACCCCCTCTGGGAATCAGGACACGCCATGAGTGACGCGTGTTCATCCAGCAACGCCATTGGTCCTAGAGAGCACCCTTCCTATGGTTTATTCTAAGGCGGGGGAATACTATTAAGCGGACGCAGCTCCGCACCGGGCCGCGCTCATGGAGAAAGGCGAGGATGAGAGGGGAATAGCCAGACGCAGGGACAGCTACCTCATCGATGAGTGTCTACTAGGATGATTTTTTTACTAAGACGGGATCAAGTCAGCAGGCTCTTGAAGTTGAGAGGATCAGCAAAGAGCAAATGAGGATGTGAGGTACGTACAGTAGTTTGCCTGCATCGGATGCTATGTCATGCATACTCCTCGGTTGACTCTGATTACCTCGCCGAATTCTTACGAAGATGTTAAGGCAGTTGGTGGTGCATTGTCGTACTTTTACCGTACGTTGAACGTGTCATCTCGAAAGGAGCGACCTCAAAAGAAGGCTGGCCGTTTCCTGATCATCAACCATTAACCAGGCATCTGGGACAAAATGCCTTCGTGAACGTCCCGCGCCGTTGCAAAATTCCGATGGATGTGCTTAGATACCTGTCCCTCATCCTTCAGCCTAAAATAGGGAAGACGAGAGTTTCGTAACATCCCAACCTCCTAACCCTAATTCGGAAGGAAGTGTCCTAAAAGCAGTCTTCCAGTGCCCAAAGCGACGATGAGTTCCGTTCTCGCGCGAAATACAAGGATATGAACTTCGAGACTGGGAGGAAAGATTTGACGTTGGATTAAGGTTGAATATGTGGGGGATGTGACGGTGGGATTTCTGTCGTGTTTAAGGATGGTGGATTGGTGTGTGTTGCTTTTCTCGGTGAATTATAGGGTTGTTATACTTTTCCTTCTTAATAACGGTGGAAAGTGCTCTCCCCCTTCTTCCATTTCAAGGATACTTCACGAAGACCTCGGACTCGAGATCTATCACATGTCCCCTCAATCGTTTCCAACGCAACACAACCGCAAAAATCCCCAGCCAACCCAGGCCCGCAAAACACCTCCTAAAAAGGTCTGCGTCTATGCAAAAATCATCCGATCACCACCCAGCGCACTGGGACCCAGTCGGTCCGGCAGCGGGCGGCACGCGAAGTTGCCTTAAACGGCAGTTCATGAAAATCTGTAGAAAGCAGACAGCTTGGGACAGCGGGAAGGTACATCTTGATTGGTTATGTGGGTTGCGTTACACTTCTCCTGTGGGAGATTGACCGTGGATGTGGGAATTAAGAAATACAAGGAGTCTCTTTTTTTTTGGACTGGGGATTGTGGGCTGGGTTACCTTGACTTTGCGCAATCATGCGAGAAGAATTGTGCTTGCTTGGCCCATGATGTTTACATTGAGTGAGTAAAGGAGGTTTTGGTAAAGTGGAACGTTCTAATTCCTAGACATGGGGATTGAAAGAACACATTTCATCATCATGTCAGCATGGTTTAAAAAAAATGACAAGAGGGGAAAGTCAGCGAACGCCTTGCAATGCCAGATCATACGGTGTGCTGCTTGCCGTACCCATACCACCATGCCAATGCAAAAAAAAAAAAAAAAAAGAAACAGGGCGTCAACTACCAAGCCCGCTTTAATAGAAGCGTGAAAGCACGCGAAGAATCAATATGTCCAAAATCCATTCAAGAGCAAAAGACTGCGAAAACAAAAATCTAGGAGTCTCTAGGCTTTCACGAATGCTGCACCAGGTCAGCTTGTTATGTTACAGTCGAGTGAAGGAGGGGCGTGACTCACTAGCATCGATTTGAATGACTTGTGGCAAGGTCAATTTGACCTTGTTCCGGTAAAGCGCCCTTTGGCTCGTCTGCAGCGGAGTGCCCTCAAAGTACACCGTCTTCAGCTCCTCCTTGTCCCTCAATTCTTTCTCTACCTCTTCAAAGCTGCTGAACTTGCAGTAGCTTGCCCAGAATTCCTCCAGCTTTTTGAGCTGAGAGAGCCCAGTGAGGTGCTCGATTGGGTTGCTGCTTATGTCCATGACTCGAAGCTGGGTATTGGACTCGAGTCCCGACAGGTCTGTGAGCGCATTGTGTGATATGTGTAGTTCTTCCAAGTTCTTGAGGTTGGAAAGACCGGTGATGGCAGTGAGTCGATTCGATTGAATGGAGAGAATTTTGAGGTTGCTCAGCGTGTCGAGGCCCTTGATCTCGGTGATTCGGTTCTTCCCTAACCACAGTTCCTCCAGAGCCGTCAAGGTTTCAAGGTTCTCTATTGACTACAGCAAAGTAAGTTTTATTGTCCAGAACACGCAACAATGGACCTACGCGTATCCTGTTCGCGCCCAGTTCCAGCTCCCGGAGATGGCTTAGCCCGTCCAAGCCTTCTATTGCACTGATTTTGTTCTGTACGAAGTACAACTCTCGCAGTTTCGTAAGGTGATTGAGACGCTTGATATGCTTGATTTTGTTGAACGATAGATCGAGCAAGGTCAGCTCAGTGAAGGCATCAAAGCCCTTGATGTGTGCGATTAAATTGTCATAAAAATCGATTTCGTGTAGCGTGGGTGCAAGTGATTCTGGGAGCTCAACGTGCGATATTTGGTTTTGACGTAAACAAAGACGCTGTAATGTGTTAGCAAGGTAATTCGTAAAGCATAAGGATGCATACTTGAAGATTCTTGAACCTCTCTAGTCTCAGGGCTGGGATGCTTGAGACCTTGCAGTGGATCAAGTCAATATCCTCATCGTCCTCGTTGACGTCGTCCAGCAAATCTTCGTCGGCGGCTAGCTGCTCGGGAGGGGGACCCTCATCCTCAGACATCTCTGGCTCGCTCTGAGCATCCGCATCTGCTGTCAGTGCATTCTTGTCTAGCCTCAATTTCCCGTCCCAGCCTTTGCTGTCCCTCGGTTTGTGGTCCTTGCCCTCATGATCGCGCGCTTCGTTGCTGTCGTTTGTTGCTGCGGGGTCGAGCTCGACATGCGGGGCAGATTCCGAGCCGGCCATGGTGGTGTTGGTGCAGTAGCCGGGCCTGTAGCGTAAAGGCAATGGTTCAGACGGCGGTCGAGAAGGAGAGAGTGGAAAAGGGAGACGTTACAGAGACAAGGAGGAGTTGGTGTTGGTGTCGGTGGATGCTGCAGTGGTGAAATGATTATGCACGGAAGTCGGTGAAAGGCAGCCACGGTTGTGAAATTTGTGCAAGGATCGTGAGCTATGGGGTGATTATCGTCGTCGAGCTGTGCCTCAAGTAACCCTCCGACCAGGAAAGATTCAATAGAAGCCGTGTTTTGAATTTTGAAGAAGCTTGGAAAAGCATGCTTCTGCGCGATGAGCTTAGCTCTCGCGCGTCACAGTTCCGCGTTTTATTTCGTCTTGGCACCCGGCATCATCGACCAAGATTCATCTTCTCTAACACTCTAATATCCATTCTCCCCTCTTCTAGCCGTATGGACATTCGGCAGCAGGCATTATATCACGGCTGGCCAAGACACATCCTTCTGGAAGTAGAGCAGCATGTTCTCGATGTCCTTTCCTACCTTCTAGCCTGCTATTGTTGCTCATTCACAGTTTTCGTTCCACAGCGTCATTTCTCCTCCTATGCTCGTACAGTTTCTTGTCCACTACAAGTAGCATCCAAGTACTAGTCAAAACTGGCGATATGTTTCGATTTTTGCTCCTCGTGTCATGTTTAGTGCCCCGAACATCCTTCGCCTCTCAGCTGCCTCAATCTCGGCTGAGAGCAAAGTCTGCTTTCAAAGCGGGCTTCATCGCAACGGCCAAATTGCGCAGTATCTGGTGTATACAGCAATCTTTACGAAGACCGAACGATTGTCGTTTGTAATGAGAGTCACTTGCTCGAAGAACGTGTAGCCTTGACATGATTGCCGCGATAGTCAATGTTTTTAACTCTTGGTCAGCACCACCTTACAGATGTCATGTAACTACACCTGCAACTCTGTCAGCTATATATTCATGCCGAAGGACCCACAAAAACCTGCGATCATGCTGAAGAAGGGAGTTGCAGGGTGCTGCGACAATGTACCATCTAGCGATGAGGCTTGCCCCTTAGGTAACAGGCACTCAAGCAATCGCATATAACAGCTTGGATTCAAACGCAGTCGTAATTTTCCTGGTCCAGCGGATCCCGTCGAAACAACTTGCTTTAAATTTGCCTTCCTCATTCTGCGCAAATCCAATGACGCCCTCCAAGCCCACAATGCTTCGTCTAAGCTCAGAAGAAAGCTTTCACTTCGAACTCCTTCGAACACTAGCTCACTCCCACTATGGGGGCGCTGATGTCGGCGAAGTGCTACCTACTGCCTCCGAAATCACACCTAGAGACTTTGAATCTTACTACGCTACTTAGATCAAACGCACCGAATGGGTCCTCTCTCAAGCGGAGAAGTCGACAAATCTAGTCTCTATTCGAGAGGTAATGTATCGTGCCTGCACATACTTTCGCAGTGACGACCTCTTCCTTCATGACAATTGGAACGATCGAAGAATCATGTACTGTTGGGAGAAGCAGATGTATTGTTTTAACAGAGCGATGAAGCTTCTGTCTATTCCAGGAGAGAGGCTAAGAGCACCGGCAGAAGGGTTCGAAGTACCTATCTTATTCTTCCCTACGTCCCAAATTTTGGACGAGAAGTGGCCAACTATCACCATGGGCAACGGGTTTGACCAGTCCATGGAAGAGATGTAACAAGAACATGGCGTTGTGGCACTTGAGCGTCGCTACAACGTCTGCTGCTATGGTGGCCCTGGTCAACCAGACGTGAGACGGTATCAGAACTTTGGAGTCACTCACAAGTTGGAGAAAGTGGTGACACCAGTACTTGATCACCTTGCCACTCAGTCGAATGTCGACATGAGCAAGATCGGGCTAGTCGGGAACTCCATGCATGGACTCACCGCCGCAAGAGCTGCCTCCGAACACAGAATAGCGGCTGTCATGAGCATTGACGGTATCTATGACTTCGCTGCTGCTCCAACACTAAACCCGGAGCTTCTGACAAGGCTGCTCGCGCTCACAGATAATGATGCACTCCAAGCCTGGTATAGGGACATTTCGGCTCCCACCGGCCTTCGCTAAGCAGTAACTCATCGGATCTGGTCCTTTATAGTCAAGACACCAACCGAGTTCATGTACTTGGTGAAGAACTACATATTGGAAGGAATTGCTGATCAGATTCAATGTCCAGTATTTGTTGGGAACGCAGCACGAGACATGTTCATGAAAGTCTATCCGGAGGCAATGAGGGATGCTCTGGGAGACAATGCAACGCATGTGCTTTTTTACTAAGGTGCTGCAAGCGTGCACTATCATAAGGGTGCTTGGGACTTGAAACTGAAGTTTGTTCAGGATTGCTGCCTCATACATATATATACGCTCGTCGAATCCAATTTTTGGTTATGATTCAAGCGGACTATTTTCCCTTTGCAAGGTATTGGAAAAAGATCTCCATCAAGAGCCAATGTGTGTCATCCTTTCCAAGGACGTGACAATACGAACCAGGAATGTCTCTCATGGCTGAATCATTCCTTTCACTCAAACAGTTGACATAAAAGCCTAACTTTACTCCAACCACAATATGGGTCTATCATATCCACGCTTCTCGATCCACTGACAACCACTCTCCTTCCTTATCTTATTCTCGCCCTCAATACGAGTCGCTATCGACGCGCAACCCTCTGGTAACACCACGACACCCTTTCATAGAGCAATATTCGACCCCATGACGTTCCATACATGGAACGCTGTAGGGATCGGCACTTGAGAGGATGACTTTCAGTGTAACGGGCCGCTTCATGAGCCAAACCTATGAATGGTACTAGTCATGCAACTCCTCCCATCTAGCATGTGACAGTGTTGACTCCACAACTCGACCCAGGGCTCTGGCTTTCCAAACACGACAGTGGTCATGTCAAAGTCGTTGCGACTTTAAGGGGAAGAGGGATCGAAGGAACTCCTGCAAGGTCCAAGACATGATGGGATCATGGATGATTAAGAGCCAGGATCCAGCGGCAGAAGTGCTTTTGCAGGCTGGGATGAAGAGTAGCGAGACATGGGCGGGGACGGCTGATGTGCTTCGTGATAGGTTCCTTGTGCAGATGTGCTAAGATGTTAACCGCCCGTCGCACGGGCAAAGCGGCGTGTGGCTGCACAAAAACGGCCACAAAGAACGGAAGCTTCCAAGACGCGCATGAAGTTGAATATAGATTTGCATCCAGACGGGGGTAGGGGGGGAGGCAGTTTGCGGTTCTTGAAAAAGAAAGTCGAAGCATTCGAGTTGCGGAAGGGAGTCTGCTGCTACCAGGCCCACCACAGGCGATTGCATACCCTCGTGTGACTGCATTCATCAACGAGCGCATGCACCGCATCCCAATTGGCCCTGCGCTTGTAAACCCACTCGCCCAGCTGGAAGAGTGGTGGTTGAAGTTGAGGAGGACATGTCCAGGCCTGGCCGGCGCATCACGACCAGCAGCTTGCTAATACGAACGCGTGCTAGTCGCAAGCCAAGAGGACGAGGCAGTGGATTAATTCACGGGTGGCCCTCAGAACTGGTCTTTTACGAGAGCACTGCCAGTGCCAACGAAGCTGCGTGCTCGGCGACCTTCCGACCGACTTCTGCTCGCATTCACATTCACATTCACATTCACAGTCCCGTTTGCGACGCATCCCACCCTTGAACATCTACGCATCTCCCAGAGGCGAGCGTGGTGTTGCTGCTGACAGCAGCAGCAAAAGTGAAGGCGGCGTGCTCATTTCCGCCAGCGCCTTAGGCGAGGAACCAGCCTCATCTAACGCTACGACCAGTCGCGAGCTCCCCCCTACATCTGCACCTCCTCCCACAGCAACCGCTCGAGGACGCTCGCTCGCACTCCTACCCACGCCGCGCCCTCTGCAACTGCCTCCTCCATCTCGCGCGACTCCGAATACATCCCCTGCGTCCTGTCAATTGCCGCGTCTCGGGAAATCGAAGAAAGTCCGCTCTGCGCCGCGCCGGAACATCGATCCTCCATCCTCCACGAGGCAACTCCACCACGCGACAACGCGAGGAGCAATCGGCATCGAATACATTGCAAATCACGGCTGCGCCAGCTCCAGCGCCTTGAATAGGCACCCATAGCTCAACCATGAGCCACGATCCTCTGCACACTGCGGCGGATCCCCCTGGGCCGGCTGTGGCCTCCGAGAAGGCTCTGGCGGGCGACACCTCCGAGCAGGCAAACGGTGCCGGTACGTCCTATGCACATCACACCCCCAAGCTCATGTTGTGTGAAAGAGTATCCAGAGTGAATGCCGCGCTGACGGTCACTTAAGCAGGTCCACAAACGAACCCAGCCCCCAGTCCAAACGCACAGCTTCCCCCTCCGCGGTCAGCATCGCGCGGTCCACCATCAACAGAGAATCTCCAGAGAACAGGCTCGCGGTCTACACAGGGTGGCGAGAGCGCCGCCGCGACTGACGGTGAGCCGAAGAAAAAGCGATCGTTTCTAAATATCCCTCGCTCATCCTCACAAACGAACGACGAGTCCACCCCGACTGGAACAGGGTTGAGTGGGGCCACAGTGGCAGACTCGGAGAGCATCGGGCGGGGATCCAAGCATTCTAAGCGCAGTTTTATCGGCAAGCGGAGGGCGGGAAGCACTGCGAGCAGCAAACACTCTCAGCCGCACCCCGCGACATCGGAGAAGGTCGAGCAAGCAGCCTCGGCACCTACACTAGAGCAACCCGAAAGCTCGACAAGAATCAAAGGTAGAAAAGCAGGCGGTTTACTCTCGTGTTTTAGCTGCTTTGGTACGCCGAAAGATTCGCATCCTGTAGAGGAAGGAGCCCCAGAGAACGCGAAGCAGGCCGGCAAGGTGAAAGCAGGTCGAACTAGCCAGCCTACGCCTCTGAAAAAGCAAGACCCCAACGTAGCAGAATCTAGCACGGCAGACTCGAAGGAGCCATTTGACGAGAAGACGGGCGAATCGTATGGACCCAGCCGAGAGAATGAGAAGCCCATGCACGGCGACGCTACCATGGACAGGCCTTCAGGAGAGACGCCGCCCAAGATCGTGATGAGGACTTCGTCAACCTCAAAAAAAAATTCCCTAGATCAGCCGCTCCCGCCTTTGCCTAATCAGCCTGGCCGCCTAGATACAGTATCTAGTCCTTCGATTGAAGTCCAAGGACCCACGCCTGGAACAACACCAGTCCAGCCAGAACCTCGCGTATCTCAAGAGGGGCAGGAATTGATACATGACCGAACGGCTCAGCAGGAGCAGATGGACACCGATATGGAAGAGAAACACGAGGTGCCTCTTTCAAAAGAAGAGGTCCCTCATGTCCCCCATGTCCCCCATGTACCCCACGACGGAGAGACCAATGCTATAATTCCAGCTACTGGGAAAGATACTATGCACCCAAAGGTTGACTTACCTCCTCCACCCCCGCCTGAAAATCGACGACCGGGCCCACAGAACGAAGATGCACCAAACCCACCCCTACCGGACGCATCTGAGAAAACTTGTCTACTCCCCCAGATCAAGCCAGAGTTCAAAGGGAAGAAGTGTCTAGTACTCGATTTAGACGAGACATTAGTGCATAGCAGCTTCAAGGTAATTCAAGCCGTTGGTTACGCTGCGTTTGACAACACTAACAAGTGACCAGATCCTTCACCAAGCCGACTTTACCATTCCCGTAGAAATCGAGGGACAGTACCACAATGTCTACGTCATTAAGCGACCTGGTGTTGATGCCTTCATGAAGAGAGTTGGCGAGTTGTATGAAGTGGTTGTGTTCACAGCTTCCGTCTCCAAGGTGAGTTGATGTGAAGTATTTACGTTCTGATACGCTAATCTGTTATAGTACGGTGACCCTCTGCTTGATCAATTGGACATTCATAACGTAGTACACCACCGGTTATTCCGAGAGAGTTGCTTCAATCACCAGGGCAATTACGTGAAGGTAGGACGAAGCTTTGCCAAGTGTTTCAAACTCAAACTTAACCAACATGCAGGATCTATCAATGATTGGCCGAGACCTTCGAGAGACTATCATCATTGACAACTCGCCCACGTCGTACATCTTCCACCCGCAACACGCCGTCCCAATCAGCAGCTGGTTCTCTGATGCTCACGATAACGAACTTCTCGACCTGATACCCGTTCTTGAGGACCTTGCCGGACCCCAAGTGAGTGATGTTAGTTTGGTGCTCGATGTTGCGCTGTAAGGATATCTTAACCGCCTACATGTTTATGAAACCGGTTTACTACATCTTAGGACCTTACCCCAACGTTCAACGTCTGTGGAGTCGGACTGGTCTGTCTCTGACCGTTCGCTGCTCGTATTCAATTCGGAAGAAAGCATCGACTAGCTTTTAGATTGTACTTTTGTAATCAATTTGTAATCTGCATCATGAGCGGGCGTTATGCTACAGCTTCGGGGCTCGGGTTTTAGAAGAGAGTTGCATTGCAGCGTTTCTCTGATCAAGATTTCGGGCTTTTGCTTGCTGTCAGACCCTGTTCTCTCTCCCTCTCCATTCACATCACCCCTTTCCTGGCCAAGAGGTCACTCAGTCGCGCAGATTGTGTCGTTCTATAAAAGTACCTACCCTTCACACCTTCCACAAACGGAGGGTCTTTCTTTTCGTCAAAAGGAGATGGCCGCAAAAGGAGATGGATAGGATGTCATCAGCAGGGCCGGGCGTGGGCGAGAGTTTAATATGGCATACCGCGTTGGATTTCTGCCCTCTCCAGCGAGCGGGAACTTATCAGCAACTACTTCTCCTATGTACAGAACCCTTCTTCTTGTCTTCTGAGCTTGGTATTGCATTGCTGGCGGGACTTCACAATTAATCATCGCCGATTTCCCTGTTTTCTTTTCCAAGTCTTTCTGACTGGAGCATATGTGTTACTCCACGACTGGAGCGTGCTTGCTGCAACTCCCTGCCCTGTGGACTGGGCCCTTTTTATTTCTTACAAGCGTCTGGGATTGAGGGATTTCTTTGTTATTGGTAGGGAGTGCCGCCTGCAGTTGAGAGATCGTTGTTGGTGAATGTGGTTGTGGGGATGTGGATGTACTGAAATGGCGAGGAGATGTAGTGAATAGGCTGGGCAGATGAATATATACTGGAAACTCACACTGCATGCGTTTTGAGTTTGAGGGGGTGTGATCTGTAGCTAGCGGATGATTCGGACCGACCTTAACTTGTCGATGGCATCTGAGACTATCTTGGCGGGAAGCGATTTCACATGTCTCGCGAAATTGCAAGGCTCGGCCACGCACCCTGATTCGCGACAAAGAAGGCCGAACGACGTCCGAGCCCTAAATTCGGTCGACAGACTGGTCCTGCAGCTGTCATAATTAGGAAGCCATCTACCAAATCCCTCGTTCTTGACCCTCCAGTTTCGCCTCATGGACCGGCAGTACTGCGCCCACGTGTGGCACTGACAACTTTTCTTCACTCTGTCTTCCTTCGCCATGGAGAAGTACTCGCAGTTCCGGGACAAAGGTAAGCATCTGCTGCTTCACCATCATGCACATATCTGAGATATCACGGTGCTGACAGTTGCGCTTCTAGGCACCGCGATTGCGCCCTTCTTCCCTGTAACTACCCCACCAGCCAGCTCGCTCTGGACACCGCTCCACATCCTCCTCTTCGTCATCCGCGTGCCCCCGGTCTTCTTCCTTTCCCTCTTTTACTTTCTGGTCCTCGAGTGGCTGCCTGTGCCGCAGCTTGTGCGGAAAGGCGTCCTATGGCTCATACTCGCGATACCCGGGGTGTGGTGGGTAGATCTACAGGTTGATGGCGTCAAGAGAGGGTATGTCGACATAGATCCTGCGCTGTGCGTCGCTGGATACCATTCCCTACCGATGAGTATCTACCATCTTCGGAAGAGCAGACGTACTGAGGAAGGTGCGCGCTACAGGAAGCTTGCAGAGGTGCCGGGCCATCTCCCACATCCAGGCACTATCATTGCGTCGTCCTTTACCTCGCCCCTCGATCCGCTGTATCTGGCGGGGATATTCTGTCCGATTTTCACGCGTTCATATCCGTCGACGCGGAAGGTAGAACGGATATCTCTATTCCGCGCGATTCTTCTCGCCTTCGGTCCTCCATCCATCTTCCCGGGAAATCCAGATAACCTGGTCACAATGAAGGAACTCGAAGCGAAACACCCGCAATCTATAATTTGCGTATTTCCCGAGTGCACGACGACGAATGGCCGAGGGATTCTGCCCCTCTGTCCTAGTCTGCTAACCGCTAACCCGAAAACCCGCATCTACCCAGTCAATGTGCGCTATACACCAGGCGATATCACGACGCCGGTTCCGGGAAACTACATTTTATGGTTATGGAAACTGCTGAGTAAGCCTACGCATTGTATGCGCGTCCGGATCGCGAGGAGCATGTACAACAATCCCACCCTGGATTCTCCGATTGTTTGGGGTGAGAAGGCAGCAGGCAAAGGCAGCGGGGTAGATATGGTCGTTGACACGGACATCTTCGACAGCCTTCATTTGAGAAATGGGATCGTTAAGGATGGCGGTGAAGGGGAGACGGAGGGAGTAGGAGGGAAGGTGAAGAAGGATGAGCAGAAGGTGCTGGATAGAGTGGGTGAGGATCTGGCTAGACTAGGGAGAGTGAAGAGGGTAGGGTTAGGTGTGCAGGATAAAATTGAGTTTGTAAAAGTCTGGAGAAAGAGACGGAGGTAGAGAGGGTAATCTGGGACGTGGAGTATGGGGGAATGGGAGAGAGAGATGGCTGAAGTTGGAGGGGAATTTTTAGAGTAGATCAGGTGGGATATGCATTGTGGTTGGGCATTGTCGCTCAGCGTAGAGGAAAGGGGCGAAATGAATTCAGCGTTATCTATCTACGTTCGCATTCACCTTGAAGCCCATTAATGCCAAGTTGATGCGATGCCTGACGAGCAGAACGCACGAGCACCACCCATTTCCCGCGCTAGGCCGAGGTTGCCGTAGCGTCTGACCGGGATTCTTGTTTACCACCCAAAACAACATTGACCTCCAACAAACTCGGCGCTCGACCTGACAACATTGCCGGCTTCGAAGTCGCCCTCCACACTCTCGCTGAAATTTAGAATGTTTTGGTGATATTCCTTCCTCTTTCCAACCTGCTTGTATCGTACTTGTGCGCTATGGATACCGCGACAGAGAACCAGGTTCGTCTTCGAATGTCGCATTCTCCGTGCAAGATCTCTAGTGCTAACAGTAATTGCTCGTTGCAGCCTCCCGCGAGGTCATCTGGCTTGAGGCCCCCAGCGAAGTATCAAATACCTCCCTCGTCGCCTACCGGAATGAACGGCGCAACTGGCCTCAGCGAATTGACCGATGCGGCGACAAACTCTCGTAGAGCGATGGGGCCTCCGGTTGGATCAATGAAACACAAGCCAAGTGGCCGTAAGACTGCTCTTCGTCTTATCTCGCCCGCTATACTGACGGTGAAAGTACCGGAGCCTCCTGCGAAACGGAAAACACTGCAAGAACGCGCTGGTGAAGCCTACAACTCAAAGGCTGCCGCTCCTCCGACCTCCCGTCCAGTCAGCAACGCCGTCAAAGCCACAGCAGCACAGGGAGCTCGCAATGGTTTCTCGGCATCGACTTCGCGCATGCCCTCGTCAAACATCTCAAAGCATACCTCTGCTTCATCCTTTAGCGGGAGTGTTGGCGCTGGCTCCAGAGTTCCGGCTACGAACACCTTCCGGCCGCAATCCGCCTACGGGCACAGTCGAAGCAAGTCCCATCATGAAGGATCTCGTCCTGCTTCTGCAATAGCACAGCATGAAGAAGAGCAAAGGCCCGCAAGCAAAGGTGCATTCCCTCTTTCTATTACCACCAATACCCGGAATCAAGATTCTCTCAGTGTCTCCAAGTGTCGAAAGCCCAAATACCGTGTGCCTTCAGATTTCTTCAGCAAGAGATACTTTTCTTCGACGACAACTCCGCCGTCGCTTTCTCTCCTTCCATCTGTACTTCCACCAAGCCCTTCCGTCGAAAGCGCCGCGAATACCGACTGCGAGGACGTCTTAGATGGCTTTAGGGCTCTTTCTTTGGGCTCTTCTGTTACTGAGACGCGTGGTCAGCCTGTCATTCGTGGTACGACGTCTGGCAAGGACATGGAAATTTCTTCTTTTAAACACCCTTCATGTCTTCCACGAGCCACGCCTACTAAGGGGCTGGCTTCTTCTACTCTCAAGACTACTTCTCGGTCGAAACTTCGCCCAGTCACTCCTTCTCAACCTACACCAAGGTATCTTAACAGGTTTACTAACGATATTGCTCCAGTCTTATCTTTCGATACGGAGAGTCGGATGGAGGCGATGGAACGCGAGTTTGCGAACTTCAAACAGAAGATGGAGGGAGATGCGCTGTCGCAGGCGAGCAATTTGAAAGAGACGATCAAGGTCTTGCAGGCTAGGGGTATGTGGCTTTTGGCTGATATGCCCTGATTTCAACCCTCATTCAACAATCTCCGATGTCGGGAAGTTTGCTGACCGGTTCGTTTGTGCAGTGAACGAGTTGGAGGCTATCCGGACAACAGTTACGGCGATCAACGAGGACCTCAAACAAGACCTTAAGGATACTAAGAGCTACATAGCAACCGCAAACTTGGAATTGGAGACAATACGACGAAACCACACATTCGAAGTCGATGACCTACGACGAAAGCATCGCATTGATATGGACGACGTTCAAGACCGCTATCGTAAAGACACAGAGCGGACGCGGAAGGAGAACGAGAACGCCGCCGACAAGGTTCGAAAGGATTTCGAAACTCAGATCGACAAGCTCCTCAAGGTGCATAGCGAAGAACTAGCGCGGATGGAGAAGCAGCTGAAGACCGAAGTTGAGGAAGAACAGAGAAGAAGAGCGCACGAGGTGCACCAGTTGCAAACGGAGTATGGACTGAAAATCAAGAATGTCGGACTTGAAGTCGATACCAAGGAGCGAGAAGCACAGCTGGTACAGGGCGAGTTGATAAATGTGAAGTGGGAACTCGACCGGGAGAGGAACCTTAAGGTAGCCCTTCAGGGTCAGCTATCTGAAGCAACGGCCCATAACCTGACCTTGGATGCTGCGAATAAGGCAATGAAGGCTAAAATTGACTTTCTCGAGTCGGACAGCCAAGCACAGTCACAGGCTTTCAACGACCTGCATCGACGCATGCAAGAGGCAATCGAGGCCGCAGAGGTTGCCAATGAAAAACTTCGACAGGAAGAGACGCTTCGGCGTAAACTCCATAACCAAGTCCAAGAGCTCAAAGGAAACATTCGGGTCATGTGCCGTGTTCGACCGACGAATACGGATACAGAGACGGATCCCGCAAAAATTTCCTTCCCAGATTCTGATGCAGACAGCAAAGAGGTCTATGTGCAGGGCCCCGAGAAGCAGAGCGCGCTCGGCAATGTCACCACCGCGACATATTCCTACTCCTTCGACCGTGTATTCGGCCCACAATCCCAAAACGGAGAAGTGTTCGAAGAGATCAGCCAACTTGTCCAGAGCGCATTAGACGGCTACAATGTCTGCATCTTCTGCTACGGCCAAACTGGCTCCGGAAAAACCTACACCATGTCCTCCCCCGACGGTATGATCCCACGTGCCACAGCCCAGATCTACTCCGAAGCAACACGTCTCGAGGAGAAAGGATGGCGCTACAAAATGGAAGGCTCCTTCGTCGAAGTCTACAACGAAACCTACAATGACCTCCTCGGCCGCTCCGAAGACCTCGACAAGAAGAAACTCGAAGTCCGCCACGACACGGTCAAAAAAACAACGACTCTCGAAAACGCAGTAACAGTCACTCTCGATGGTCCCCAGCGCGTCGAGGAAATTCTAAAAACTGCAAGCAAGAATAGGAGTGTGGCGGCCACGAAGGCGAATCAACGGTCTTCGAGAAGTCATTCTGTGTTTATACTTAAGCTAGTAGGGGAGAATGGGATTACGGGCGAGAAGAGTGAGGGTACGCTTAATCTTGTGGATTTAGCAGGGAGTGAGAGATTGGAGCATTCAAAGGCTGAGGGGGTGAGGTTGAAGGAGACGCAGAATATTAATAAGAGTTTGAGTTGTTTGGGGGATGTTATTGATAGGTTGGGGAGTGGGAAGGAGGGGCATGTTCCGTACAGGAATTCGAAGGTATGTTTACGCCATTATCCCCTAGTTCTGAGGTGCGAGGCTAGGGTTGCGGACTTTGCTAATGTATGGCAGCTTACGTACCTCCTGCAATATTCTCTCGGCGGAAACAGCAAGACTCTCATGTTCGTAATGGTCTCTCCCCTGCAAGCGCATCTGCAGGAAACGATTACGAGTTTGAAGTTTGCGACGAAGGTGCATAATACGCATATTGGAACAGCGAAGAAACAGACCAAAGTGTAGATTTTGTGCAAGGCCAGGTGTGGTAGGGTGTGTGGACGTCAAAAGCGGATGAACGCTCAAGGAATTGTGTTGAGAATGTGTTGAGGAGTGGGGGCGTGGTGATGTTTATACATCTATCTCTTTTGCACCAACTTTTGCTTCTGTAGTTGAATTGCAACTACGGCGTTTGGCAAGCCGGCATTCCTGGCTTCGGGCTTTGGGTTTTGGGCTATCGGGTGGGATTGGTGTTTGGGTAATTGACAGCCTATGCTGTGCTATGATACTGAAGCAAATCCACGGTCGATATTCATTACGATTCTCCTCGTCGTCGTGATGTGTTCCCTAGGCTTTGCCCCAAATTCAGTTCCCGTGGTAGGATGGCGGTGGAGGGAGAGGTGGGGTACGGGAGGCCACCTAATTACCTCTAGGAAGGTATAGTTCTTCCCACCCGCATCCGCCGCCTTTCGAGCGTAAAAAAAGTCGTACTCGCCTCACGCGCCAAGGTGAGCGTCCACTTGACCCTCCCTGGTTCAACCAGAAAACCACATTCAACACGAAAGGGTCGCGAAAAGCCATCTTAACGCTTAGGAAAAATGCACAATCCGTGGAATGTCTTTTAAGGAGCTTCACATTGATATGTAAAATACCTGAATTTTAGCTAACAAGTCCCTAACATGTGCTACGGAATATTTTTGAATTGGGGAGGTGTTAGGAGCACTCATAAAGTCTCTGCCTACACCGATAGCCTACCCTTGGCACCATCTTTTAATCCTTACTGTCACGTACAATAACAGCTTCGCGCGCATCTTTAGCGTAGAGCGTCCTACCACCTTGTCCATACGACGCGGCGACCAGCTTGTTGTCGTTTTATACTTGATTTTAATGCTTGTGTGATCTCTTTCAGATCCTGCTTCGTCAGGTGATGTTTATACGTCTGGAAAACTGTTGGCTTTAGAAGGAGATTATAGTGGGGTGGGGTTTGTTAACATGTCCTTGTTTGGAGTGATGTATAATAATCTGCTTAGCTGGCTGGATCATTAAGAGAGTTTCGTAGGATGTTGGAAGAGATGTTGTTGGCTAGAGAGGTGTTGCCAGAGGAGGGTGATTGGTTAAGGCTTTAGAATCTCCCCTGCAGGTGAATAAACTCCCCGATTGAACCCCTTTACCTTCTTCATTGCACTTCACCTTACTTTAGGACTTGCTTACAAAGACAGAGTGAGACTCCTGTCATAGTTCTTGTAGTGTAGATAAAATGTTATGCATGCTCGATAATATCGCTTTTAGGAGGATCGAGAAATTCACACTAGACGCCGATTTCTGAAGAGATCACAGATGTTTAGGAACTGTCTCCTCTAGGTCTAAGTACTCAAATACATGTATCAGGGTGTGTGAATACACACAGACAATCCCTCATTCCGCAAGATAGCATAGGTATACACAGCCATCAGATCGCAGACTTAGAGATAACTAACTTACACTTACGCTTACGCATCCCGAGGTCCTTAACCCCACCCCTAAACCCCAAATCCTATCAAAGGCGGCAGCATAACGCCTGTGCCATACGCAGTCCAATCCCACTCTCTCTAAGTATCCTACACGGCCGGCCCTTGTGTCCCCTAAGGTGGGGGAGCCAGCATAGTTGGTCGCTGCCAAAGGAAACCCAACTAAGTATCCTTCGAATCTGAACTAGAACTCGACGACATCGAATCATCATGTATAAGCGTGTATGTCGTCGGCGTTTTCGATCTCGCACTCAACAAACTAACTGAAGCAGAACTAGTTCCAGATGCAACTGTGGTAGTACTCCATATCCACTTTGGCCGCTCATCCGTGACTTTAATAGGTTTCTGCTTGCCCAACGGCCGCGGATACCATTTCAAACTATTAATAACTAGACCCGCCGGTTTATGTAGTTCATCGGTAACCGTGAATGTTGCGCTTAGTCCTGGTCGGCGCGCCAACCCGTAGCCGGAGTTGTAGGGCCAGCCTTCTGGTATCTGCGTTAGATACTGGCTTGGGAACGGTGGCATTGTGATCGTGCTCGCGCTCACGGTTTGAGAGGACGGGACCTCATTTAAACCGGGGGAGGACGTGAAGAGTGTGGAGAGGGTCGTGATTTGCATGATGGAATCTGGGAGTGGGGTGACGGAGGAGGGTGTATGGGCTTTATTTAGGATATCGATGAGAGAGATGAGGAAAAGATAAGCGGATGGACGAGTGGTGCCGCAGAAGTTGTGGAACGTGGCTGAGAGGGCGGCGATTAGTGAAGTTTCAAGAGAGGTTTGCTGGAGACAGCTGAAGCAGGGAGTTAGGTCTTCTTTGCTGGGAGGGGGTGTTAGTGTATTTTGAAGGTGTTGGAGGAGAGGGGTGTAAACCTACGGTCCAGCTATCCCCTTTGTTTCCAGATCGCACATCAATTTTTGAAACTCCGTGTTCTGATGTCTGTCATTTGGATCCGACAGGCCCCTAATATTCATAAAACTCATCCGCACGTGCTCGAACACCTGTAAGCACCCACTGTATTCCCAGCAATATCCTTGAAGGTTTGAATCCAAAGATGCAGAGGAGCTGGTGGGGGTTTGAGCTGTGTTAGTATCACGGTTTTTAAGAATCATAGGAACCGAATGTGTGACTGACGTAGATGTCAATTGACGTGGGAGACCAGAGTTGACTACGGGATGCGGGAGGTGAGAGTCGATACGAGGAGCTATCCCTATGCGAGCAGGTTGCAGGAGAGGCCAGATCCAGGAGGGCCATGTGGATGGGACGCTGCTGAGGAGGGCTACTGTGGTAGTAATTACCCTAGTCTCGACTACCGTGTTGTGAGAAGATATCGATGTAGAAGGGGTTGTGGACGTAGAGACAGCGGCCAAAGTGAGTAAGAGCGTTTGGAGCTTCATGGCCGGCGAACTCGAAAGATGGGAGTTGTAGAGAGGATAATGTTCTGCAAAGATGATACGCAGATGGCGAGGATCGAAGGCTAAAGTGTAGGGTGGAGTAAAGAACGCAAACGGAGCCCTGCCACTGACATTTACCCTCCCACCACCAGCAATTCAGTCGTGTGCACGCGCTTCTGCACAAAAGTTAATGAGAATCTAGAGATTCCTTTGGAGGCGCTACAACCTCGGTTGACTCTATCCCCGTGCGTGACTGCACAATGCAAGATTTAAGTCACGGAAGCCTGATATCCTGGAATGGACCCCATCGCCGCGGCAAAAAAAGCCCTAAACCCGTACCTGTCCATAAGACAGCGAATCAGCAATTTCCACGAATGTTCTATATTCACCTCCCACCCCGTGATCGGAGTCAGAGACCCATTCACCCATATTACATAATCATTCCTCACCTCGTCATCAAAAATCCAGAATAGGAAGGATTACATATCTCCTCAACTAACATTGCATAGCACAACATATACACCAAGAACCAAGACAATATGCACGCACAGCTGGTCCATCAGCTCATGCGTAATCTGAGACAATAAGCAAGCCGTGAGAAGAGAAGTTTAAGGGTTATTGCGCTGATAGTGGCAAGAAAGAGTAAGAAGAGTCAGATGCGAAACGCCACAGAATGTAACCAAGTAGCTGCATGCCGGGAGAGAGAGAGTTTGTGTTGTGGTGGCCGAGCATTATCTCGCCACTTGCCCACCACAGATGTGAGGAGAGGAAGGAGATGGGGATAGGGATGGGAATTTGAACTGATGTCAGAGAGAAACGATGCTG